GAAGAGCCCCAGGGCCCGGGGCTTTGACCCAAGCCGGCTGGGGTGGGGTGGGGGGGGTTGGGCAGCCCACCCCGGGTGGTGACGGTGGGCAAAATAGGAGGAGGGAGCATTACTGGATAAACTAAAGGCAGAGCACTAATGTGATGACAATATGATGATGAAGGAGAAGGAGAAGAAGAAGAAGAAGGAATCTCAGTCAACAGTTACAAAAAGTCCACATTACTTGGGATTTAGCTTTAATTTAGGATCGTCTTTAGCTATCCTAGATCCTAGAGTTGTTCCACAGTTGGGTGGCACCTAAATCAGATTAATCATCATCTTCCTTGGGAAGGATCTGATTGTCCAATGCATGTAAATTGCCACCACCACAATAATAACAACATCCAAGCTGGGTTGCCCTGATACAGTGGGATGAAGGCAGCTGTGACAGTCACAACAGCTGGGGACACCAGGCCTCACAACACTTCCTGCACAGCTGAGGCCTGCTTTGGTTTGGGATGGCTTCCCACAAGGTCTTGATGCCCTGCAGAGATGCCAGAGGGCCCTGCTGGGTGGCAGGAAAGGAGCATCAGGAAGAAACGGGCCCATTGGAGTGAGGCAAGCCATGTGTGTCTTCCTCATTTATCTTCCATCCGTGATGCCAACAAACTGGGCCACTTGAACTTCTGGTGAAAAGGTCCCTCCTGCTTCAGGGGTCAGCAAGGATGCCCTGGACACCCAGCCTGCCCTTCTGGGGCACGTAGCTGGTTAGACCTTTTCTAAAAGCAGTTGAAAAATCTGATAGCAAACTTCAAAACCAGGGGGGTTCGTGGCTCATGCCACAATGTGCCTTATGTGGTTCTAGGTTTAATGGATTGTGTGAAACCATCCAATCAGTGTCTAAACCATGATTTCTGGCTAAGCGTGTTAGATGAACTAGGCTACTTGGTTGATAACGACTCTGATTAAACCAAGAGTTAGCACACTATGGATTTTCATGATGTATGTGTAGGTCTGGGTTTCAATAGGTAAAGATAGGTACAGGCTTCACAGTTGGAAATGATTTGATACTAAAATCTCACGTTATATTCAAAACAGCGGTGCTTTGAGAAGTTGGAGGTTATCATAACATTGCCATAGTCCAGATTCAATGTGTTTAATGTCCTACTAGGCTTCAGTTTCTTTTCTAGGGTGGTGGGACAGGCATGCATCAGTCAAAAAGCCAGGTGTTTCTTGCCTAGCCCGCCCACAGACCCACTTGTTGGAGCAGACAGGTTTAGGGCTTGCTGTTTCATGACGAGGAATGCAAAAGCCTGGGTTTCTCCTACTCCCTTGGTGGGTCTGAGGCTTCGAACCCTTGTCATCTCAGAAGACTTCTTGTGCACATAATTTGGGAAGGGGGTCGACTGAAAGTGTCCTTCTAGGGCTTTTCCAACTCAAAATGAGACCAATGCAAGCCAGGCCTGAAAGCATGCTGGGGCCCAACTCTTCTATCAAATTGTAAGGATGGTGGGTGCTCGTGTGCAAACCTGTGAGAGCCTCCTTCACCCCCTGAAACCCATGGGACAGATCCTTCTCAGAACTGGCCAACTGCGTTTGAGAACCTTGTAAGAGAAGGGGTGGTGTCTAGACCCCCAGCTTCTGGCCTGAAAGATGTCATCAATCCCCATCTGTTTTTTTCAGGATGCTGGTTTAGTGTGAGTAAGACAAGAACCTCCACATGGCCTGTGGGCTCCCTTCTCCAGCCCACAGGAACCGCTATGCAAGGCTGGGACTCTCTGCCTGTGTTTTGTTCGGGGCAGAATCTGAACTGGAGCCCCTGACCGGGTTGCTCTTCCAACAAGCCACAACTGGAGGTCAAGCTTGTTCTTGGATTTAGGACTGGGCTGGTTAGAAGAAAAAGGTGAGGTCTCACTTTAGGTGTTTCTCTAAACCAGTGTTTCTCAACCTCAGCAAATTTAAGACGGGTGGACTTCAACTCCCAGAATTCCCCAGCCAGCATGGCTGGCT